CAGTGTTCAAATTCCCCAGTCTTGTAATTTTTAAAACGGGTTTTGAATCAGGATTTTGAAATAATTGCAGTTAATTGATTTGGTCTCTTAAATCTCTAAATCTGTTGGAGTACTCTAGCACTCTCGTGTGCTTGCTCTCTCTCTCTCTCTCTCTTGCTCTCTCATTCACTCTCACACACAATTCATTGAAGAAATTGGGTTATCTGTCCTACAGAGTTTTCCATAGTCTGGATTTTGTTGCTTACATCTTTGAATTGTCTTTTATTCTTCTATTTTTGGCACAGATTTAGGTTCGTTGGTTAGTTGTTAACAACACGTCTTAGGAAATATTGTATACTTTTATTAGGAGGCATTTAAAGTTTTGTTTTTTTGTTTTCTTTTAGAGAGAGCAAGAGAGGGCATTAGTGGGGGGGAGGGAGAGAATATGATGCAGACTCTGCCCTGAGTGTAGAGTCTGACATGGGGCTCTATTTCACGATCACAAGATCATGACCTGAGCCAAAACCAAGAATCCTATGCTTAACCAACTGAACCACCCAGATGCCCTCTATTGATTGGGAGGCAATTAATATGTCTGGGTCTTCTACTCATATTAACATCCATAGACGAGCATTGCTTAGATCTTTATTTCATTAGATATTGCAAACCAGTGATATTTCAATATTCTTTCTTCATTTGTTAGCTGAGAAACTTCTACTTTATCAGCTATTTGGTTGAAGTACAATTCTTTTTTTTTTTTTAAGATTTTATTTATTCATGAGAGAGAGAGAGAGAGAGTGGCAGAGGGAGAGGCAGGCTCTCCACAGAGCAAGGAACCTGAAATGGGGCTCAATCCCAGGACCCCCAAGATCACATCTTGAGCCAAAGGCAGATGCTCAACTGACTGAGCCACTCAGGTGCCCTTGAAGTACAATTCTTATAGGAAAGACAATAAAGACTAACTAGTTACCAAAATAATGAGGTGGTTCCCTTAGTATCCTTTGAAAGTGACAAATGAGTTCATTTTTAAATATCATTATGAGATTATAGACATTCTTTAATGGATCAATCCATTACCATTGATATTCTTACGTTCAGATGATCCCATCTTTGCCTACTGGAAGCCTCTTCAGTCCTTTTGATACAACCCTAGTGATCTTTCATTTCTGGTAGGAGAACATGTTCTGGGATTATCCTGTACATTTCCTGGCCAAGGCTGAGAATTGGCCATCTCTGTAAAGAGCTCTGATTCCTTTTAGCAGGAAAGAATATTTAGAAAACATAATCTGGGTATATAGTAGACTTTTTAAAAGATCATATAGTCAAAAAGTAAGGCAGGAAATAGTTCATAAATCTAGTCCTGATTTACTAATCATCCATTATCTCAGAAATGGAAAGGTTGAAGTACAGTTTTAATTCAAAATAATGAACGACAAAATAATGAATCAAATGAAACTTTAATTTCAGAGTTAACTGTATTTTGTTACAAAATTTTCTCAGATTATATTTTTATTGACTTTACTTGGCCTTCTCAGTACCCACCATCTCATGCAGTGGAAGTTTGCAGTTCAGTGTGTGCTGACTCACAAAGTAGATCCAGCCAAGGATTAAAATTTCACAATGAATAGTCTCAAATCTGTCCACAAAGCAGTAGCAGTTGACTGTAAAACCTACCAAATCAATAAATGGTTTAATCAGGAAACTCTGACTTTGGATAGAAAACTGATTTCAAACCATCGATGTCATCATCTATAAAGAATAGGACTAGGATCTTCTCTGGGATCAGAGTCTGTGAACCTATAACTGTCATTATCTTAGTTCTCTTATCTCGTTCATTTATTCTGCATATATATTGCAAACACTTAGTATGTTAGGTGGTAGAAATAGTGAGAGCAAAAACACCCAAGCTTCTTGCTTTCGTACCCTGTGAAGAGGAGGTACTTCCCTCATCTATGTGCATTATGTGAGCACACAATGGTAACAGTCCTAAAGTGCACCTTGTGTTTTCTAATTCGCTCCTCCTTTGAGAAGTGCAGTTTTAAGTACTCTTACTGATACTTTGTCTACAACGAAAGACAACTTGTATAGACTTTCTGGCATTAACAGAAACATTATTTGTTTAATGACTTTTTCTTTGACATGCAGTTTTTTTGGTTGAAAAAATTCCCATTAGTTAAATTATTTGGGGTTATAAAATATAGAGAAGTTAATTCAAATGATCTATGTTGTGTTTCATTTGCACCTTTTAAAAGCTTCTCGTGTTTTAAAAATTTAGTGGTATTTATGGTTCTCAGAGTTAACGGAGTGTATAATGTATAGTATTTTTATATTATTGCATTATATTCTCTTAGAAGGATATAAATGATCCAGTTCATCAAATTTTCTACATTAGCTATTTTCATTTGAAATGATATCTTGGTGTTATTAAAAATGTACATATTCATCTGTAAAAATCACACTTTCCTTATTTAAAAATTGAATCCATTTTAATCCTATATACAAAAGGTAGTCAGAAATTTGTATTAAGATAGATTTGGATGCAGGAAAGCAAAATTTCAACAAGAATACTTAATATTTCATTGTTTTTTTAAGATACTAACCGTAATAGAGGGTTCTTTTGCCCTCCTCCCCCACTGAGTCAGCCTTCAATAAATCTTATTGAGAGCATATTAAAGATTCTTCCTAGAGCTTAAGTCATTCTCTACCAGTGATAATAAGCTTTCTATTTAAAGAGATGGATTATATGCATTTTCAGCCTCTAAGGATGCCATTTAGGGCACCATTTTGTTTTTATATCGTATAAATAATTACTTAAAAGAGTTAATTCACAAAGTTTATTGCCATGGCATAGGAATATAAAAAGACCCTGCTCTTTTAAATTACAATGTTGCCCATAAGTCCATTATAACCCTCTGAAGACACACACATACCTACATTTTAAAAATGATAGGATAGAATGTCTCTAAGATGATTACCAAATCCTTATGCTTTGTGATGCTCCAAACTTTTAAAGTTATGTTGCTACTTCATGCAGCATATATTTCTTCCCCCTGTGATTTTTGAATAAGAATTCCTTCTTACAGCAAAGAACTTCTATAGTATATAGTAAGTAGTCCCTTCCTATCTGCAGGGGATGTGTTCCAAGGCCCCCACTGGATGCTTTATACCGTGGATAGTACTGAACCCTGTTTATACTGTTTTTTCCTATACATACATACCTCTGATAAAGTTTAATTTCTAAATTAGGCACAGTAAAAGATTAATAACAATAATAACTAATAATAAAATATAACAACATATTGTAATTAAGGTTATGTGAAGATGGTCCTTCTATCTCTCAAAATACCTTATTGTACTGTACTCACCCTTCTTGTGATGATGTGAGATGATAAAATACCTGTGTGACGAGAGGAAGTGAGGCGAATGATGTCAGCACTGTGATGGAGCCTTTGGCTACTTCTGACCTTCTGACCATATGTCAGGAGGATCATCTGCCTTTGGAGGACAGTAGCCTGGGGGCAGCTGAAACTGCAGAAAGCAACAAATCGAGGGTGAGGAGGAGCTAGCGTATATGGTGTTCATCTGCCTATGATATCTGCCATTCTTCAGGGAATGTATAGCATTTCTTTGTAACTCTTTGCTATTCTATAATGTCCACAGAGACATCATCATAGGTGTATGTTGGTTTGGGGCTGTGACTATCCACTCAATACTGAAAGAAGTGAGGAATTTCTTCTCACTCCTAATCAGCTTTTGTAACTGCCAGCTGAATATTCTTCTACATACTCTAGTAGATGTACACATTCCTCGAGAACTATTCTGCCTGTATAGTAGCCACTCGCCACCAGTGACTTAGGCACTTAAAACGTGGCTAGTCCAAGTGGAGATGTGCTATAAGTATAAAATAGATACTGGATTTTAGAAACTTAGTGTGAAAAAGAAGGTGAGATAGCTTAAAAAACTTTTTTGCTTGCATGTTAAACTAATATTTTGGATGTGTTGGGTTACATAAAAACATTATCTTAAAATGTAGTAATTAATACATAACGATTTTCACCATTTTTATTTTACCTTCTAATATGGTTACTAGAAACTCTTAAGTTACATATGTGGCTCACATATTTCTAATGGAAAGCACTGCTTTAGATAATATCAGTCATAATCCAAGGGACCAAATACCTATTATTGCATACATAGATAGTTGTATTCCAGACTTCTTTTCCCAAAACTCCTCGGAAACTACATGCAGTTGTTAGCTTGTCATGCGTTGTGGTGGTGCCTGTACGGCTTGGGAACAGACTTTTCTACATGTAGACACAATAAGCACCACAATGTCATACCTAGTACCACTCAGAAAAAGTTTAAGCTACCAACATGAATAAAAAACCATTGCCTTTGTTGTAGATTCTTGCATTCAGCATTTGAAAAAATAATTGTTACCATCAGGAAGGTTATAGTACTTCATGGATCTTTAGCTATGAGCTTTGTAAATGAATGTTACATATGAAATAAATGTTAATGGGGAAAACCTAACTACTCTGCTGCAGTAAACACTAAGTTATGGTTTTACTGCTTTTAGTGATAACACTGTATATAATGCCTGAATATTAGAATAACAGACATACTTTACTGATTCTTTTATTTTATTACTGTTGGAAATGTAGTTAACATAATTCACATTACAGTTATGACATGCTGTACTTGTTTTATTGCAAATTTTAAGATGTATATAAAAGACAGCAAACTCCTACTTAAACAGTTCAAAATAGGTTATGTTTAATCTCACATAATTTAATGTAAGTTCTCTATGTAGCATACTTTGAAACATTACTCAGTATTTTCATACAAAGCATTTATTATTGAGTCTGAATATTCAAAGTACTCAAAATTACATATTTTAAATGATCAGCAATAAGATGTATAATTGCATCTGGTATAAGTATGGTAGCTAAGCAGTACAACATTCACTTGATTACAAAAATATTCTCTTGTAAAAAACCAATTTTGTCTTAATTTTTAAGGAAACCAGAATTCGGGCAATGGATAAGGATGCCAAGAAAAAAATTCATAATTTCTCTGTCATCAACCCTGTTGCCGGACAGTCTGTAACTCATATTTTTGCAGTGGACAATAGAGAAGATCTTCAGAAATGGATGGAAGCCTTCTGGCAGCATTTCTTTGATCTTAGTAAGTTGATGTTTGGATTTACTAGTAAAATATTCATGTGCATGAAAAGATGCACAAAGCAATCTACATATTAAAATTATAATCTTATGGTTTCTCTCAAGAATTTTTTATGCTCTTGGATAAAATGATACAATCATCAATACATTGGTGCCTTTCTCTCAACCTTTCCCCAGTACCTGACTTAATGTAATTTATTATACTTTCGAATTCCTCCTATCCCTCCCTGTTACTTTTAAGTTTCTGTGGTCCCTAAGACAATTAGACCACATTTTTCAAAATATTGGGTTTTAATTGGTTAATGCAGTATCTGTAGTTTAGAGATGATCCTAAAATATTGAAATGTTGAGGAAACTCATGTAACCCTCTGTTAACTCCAGATTCATTATAATATCGTGGACATTCGTCCAAAGATTTTTTTTAAACCATACATATGGTTTTTCAGTTTTAATAATACAGCCCATGATTATAAAAACAATGTGATAATAATAGTAAAATATTCTCAATTTAAGAGGGAATTTTATCAACAAAATGTTGAAGTTAAAATTGAAAATGTAGGCTATTGGGTAATGGCTTGTTTCTAGTCAAATTAAGCCTTTTGTTACATTCAACCAGTATTTTATGTCTTTAGAATGTTTTTTTATGGAATTATGAAAGGTAGCCATTTCTAAACAATAGAAAGTTATTTTTGAAACTCCTAGAAATAATCCTACAGAAATTTTAGGACTTCTTAAGATCTGTTTTGGGGAACTTTATAAAAGAGTTACAGCCTGCTATCCTCAGATTAATTTTTATAAGCTTACAGTGATCCATGCCCTGGTCAATTATTATACTGATGGTTGGAGTGGGGGAAAGAAGAGAACTAAATGTATTGATTACCTTCCACATACCATATGGCTTCATTTATTTCTCCCAACAGTCCAGAAAGGCAGAAATTATTTCTCTCTGCTCTAAAGTTGAGAAAATTGAGGCCTGAAAAGATTGCTGGTTTACTGCAGGAAACCAGAGGACTCCCTCTATAGCCTTATGGAATCCTTTAGGACTTGTTTTCCTTAAGTACTATCCCTAGGCACTGAATAGATGTTTAAATATTTTTTCCATGCTTATCAGCATGCACTGCATTTTTTTTTATTTCAGCTGATCTTAGATGTGTAACTTAAAAGACAACAACTTCCTTTCGTTTGCTGATCACATCTGAAATTTTAACTGCTTTCCTAAATGCTTTGCTTTAGAGAGTCTGTCTTACAAAGACTATATTATTTTTAGAAGTGATTCTGCTATTTTAAACTTTTTATGTGTATAAAAACAGGAACAAGGGGTGAAAGGAGGTAAAAATGCAGAATATTATGGTCTGGATATCAATTACTGCTAGATGATCTCATGTTTTTATTCTCTAGATTATGTAAAATAATTTATCATGCTAAAATGGAGTTGGAGGGATACAAATATCCAATTTTACTGTCAAAATAAGAAAGTGATGACAACTAGGTTCTCAGATCTAGCTATTTCTTTAGTATTTAATGATTTGTTGATAAAATCTGCTAATCTATGTAATTTTTTTAAAATATAAATTCTACTAAATTTATACTTTAGAATTCATTGTGTATGAAGATATGAAGCAAAGGTGGAAATGTTTATACTATCCTAAAGATTGACTTGTAAGTGGTAAGCTTATTGTGATCTTAGGTGAAATCTGAACCAAGTAGAGGATAGATAGATATTCAAGGTAGAATAAGACTAATTTAATATTTAAAGCAAATTTCAATTACTTGTCTCTGCTTAAGAGTAGAAAATCAGGAGAGTGAGAAAATCACCATGAGAAAACATTAATGACACTAAGTCTGTTTAGCCTGCAGAGAAACAACCTGAGGAGTGGAGGTTGGAGGCAAGGGGGGTGTAATAGCTAAGTTTTAATATTTGAGAGCTGACCAACATATAAAATAGGAGTGACATTGTTTTAGATGATCAAAAGGGGCTAGGCATGGTGGGCCAAAGATTTTTTTTGAGTATTTAATAATATATTATTGAGTTACATAAACAGCTTAACATAACAGATCATTTTGACTGGGAACATTATAGCAAATATTATTGTGGTAAGCATCTTCAATATACAGGTTTTATGTGAGCACAACATAGCCATTTAATATTTCATACTGGGCCTTTATTTTTATGTTGGTATCAGGTACAACAGCGCATACTAATTTATTCAGATAAAATAAACCTTTCCATTATAAAATTGACCAGCGAATATACCACCCTTGTACCTCTGACTTCAGTAACACATGGGATAATATGACTTTATAGTCGGGTCTTCAACATGATTAGTATTCTGCTACCAGTTTAACAATGAAAAGCTTTCATCTATCAATGTAGACAAAATACTACACTTTATAATTTGCCTAAGATTTGACAGAGAAATGTTTGCTAGTTCAAAGTATTTCATTATTTTTCTATTAGATAAGACCTTATTTTTTTCTGCCCCCAAGAAGGAAAAGCTGGCTTTTATATATTTATCTAAAAAAGGAAGTGGAGGGGAGGAATAAGTTATCAGATCTCAGATCCTACTAGATTTAAATTCTGCAGAGCAACCTTTGAAGCCTCAAACTCAAGATTTCATTCCCTTTATGAGATGCTATGTGGGCTATTCTGAAAATTTTACCATATTCTATACTTAGCATTGTAATAAAACATACTAAAAGGTTTTTTATGTTTCTTAGCTATTTAAGGTGATGGATTTAAAATTTATGCATATTACCATGTAACCATGGCTGTCTATTAGATTTAAAACAACAAAAATGAATAGATAATTTGACTGAACATGAAATGTCTTTTATTTTTAAGCTATGGAAAATAACTAAATTGGATATTGAGTATGGAAACTGAGAATATAATAAAAGGAAGAGGAATATAGATCATAAATCATTCCAAAAAGGCACATGTGTATTACATTTAGTTTTCTACAGATGTAAGTTAGAGTATAAGAATTGTGAACCTCAATAACCTACTTTTATAACATGAATATAGAGACACGTAGTTGTTGTCCAACATGCAGGTACACAATAAATGTGGAAAGGTTAAATTGTTCATATCCCCTCAGAAGAAGTAAGTCTGAGCATTTTAAGATGAAAATAGTAAAACATAATTAAAAGAAAAATTAATGTTGACCACACTTTTAAATTTTACTTAAAAATTGAAACAACTTGAGTATTTTTTTATTCCTAGTGACTAATGGCTTTATTTAAAGTATCCTTCCTAAAATAAATTCCTTCCTAGAATTTTGACTGATGTGTCTTTATTATAGCAGGCTCTTATATACCTTTTACTTGAATGAAAATATAGCATTTTTCTAGAGTTGCATGATTTATGAAAAGCATAATCATTTGAAGAAATGATTCTTAAATAAGCAATTCTTATTTCTCAACTAGAATTTTCAAAGGTAACACCATTTTTGAGAAGTACAGTTTCCTACTAGATAACTATATTTTATTTCAGTTGATTTTTACTTTTCAGTTGTCTTAAATATTGGATATTATTTTATTTAATATTTAAAAGAGGAGAACTTGTACAAATTTTTGCCATGAATAGAAATTTCAGTTACCAACCATTTAGTGAAATAGTGCAGTATTTAATAGCTTAGAGATCTTAGCTTCTTATGTCTGTGCACAGAACTTTATTTTTCAAATAGATTACTTTCGTGCTTAGACTTGGACTTTAACATTATGGGTAGTACTGGGTTTTTGTGTCTTCTTTAAGGCAATGCTTTATAAATTCACTCTTATTTTTCACAGCAAAAATATGTTGATATCTATTGAAAATGAAATATACGTCTTCACATTTATGTTTTAAACTAGGCTGCCTTTTTCTGTCTTTCTTAGGCCAATGGAAGCATTGTTGTGAAGAACTTATGAAAATTGAGATTATGTCACCACGGAAACCACCTTTGTTCTTGACAAAAGAGGCGACCTCAGTCTACCATGATATGAGTAAGTGGGGTTTGTCTTTTCTAAGCTGCAGGGTAACAAAAACAACATTGTCCATACTCAAGCAGCTTATTCTATTGACATTAAAATGCTAAAATTTTCAGGGCACAGTCAAAATGAATGAAAAAAGACTATGATTATAGACTAAGGAACTCATGTTTAATAGATGAATTAATACAAATTTAATGAATACACATTTTTCATAGTTTGAATGCTTAAGATCAAACAAAAATGTTAAGGCTTCAAAATGAATAAGGGTACACTGAAAATAAATATTAGCTGAGTAGCTGATGAAAATTCTGAAAATGTGAACTTAACAGATTCTAAAATATAATCATGTTTTGTAATTTTTTCTGTATTTTATTAAATTTGTTTTAAAGTAATAAATGAATATTAATAAATGGAAGCTTTCATCTCAGGTCAAAAAATTGGTTAGGTTTAATACTTTAGAAAATTTTAAATTTCTAGACTCAATATTCCATTTTCCCGCACTTTGAAGGGTATTTATTTCTCTGTGGGATTGCCTGAGTGAACAGTGCTGTGAACAAACACAGGTCAACACTAAATTCTAGTCTATTTTGTCACCAATATATACTGTACACATACCTTAAAATGTTAGATTAAAAATGATACAACCAGTGATTCATTTAATACCAGTGATTCATTTAGTAGACATTTATCTCTGTTCTCTTATTTTTCCCAAGGAAAAATTCATCCAGCATCCTTATCACCAAATTGGTATCAGGGCTTCACTGTTTCCTTAGGTTTCTGGTTTTGGATTATTTCCCTATTAACAGACTTTGTTAGTCTACAGGAAAAGATGCTAATTCAGTTACGCTTGCCTAAGTTTACATATCAGGCTTTTATTAAAAAAAAAAAAAAAAGAATTCACTCTTACCTAGAAGTCAGAATAGAATTTAAATCCAAGGAAAGTTATTTAATAAATATTTAATCTATAGATTGAAAAAAATCCTAGTGTAACCCCACTCCTTTGAAAACTGGTTTTTACTCATTTATTTAGGAATATATTTATGGGTATGTATGTGTGTGTGTGTGTGTGTGTGTGTGAGAGAGAGAGAGAGAGAGAGAGAGAGAATGAGTGTGTGAATGATCTCCTTATTTTTTGGTTCTGTTGGTAGAGTTATTTTTAAACCAAAACCACTTGCTTACCCAATGTGCTTTTGATGACCGTTACAGATACTAGCTTAGAAAACAATAACTCACTCAAAGTGTGCACAGCTTTTGAATTTTTCCCCCATGTACTTTTTCTGGAAATTATTACAGGCATTGATTCACCTATAAAACTTGAAAGTTTAACTGATTCAATACAAAAAAACCTTGAAGAGACAAATGGACAGCTTCTTGTTGGTCAGCATGAAGAATCCTCACCACCTCTTTGGGCCAGCCTCTTTGATGGTAATCATCAAATGGTTATCCAGAAAAAGGTATTATCTCCTACAAGCAAGCAGTTACATGATGGGAAAGGGAAAAAAAGACGTGCTCCCCTTCCTCCTTCTGATCAAGCTCCGTTCAGCTTAAAGACACAAAGCAACACAGACCAATTCGTTAAGGACAACTGGGAAAAAACAAGTGTATCTTGGACCTCGCCTTTGGATTCCAAATTATCAACCCTGATGCATCACTTGCAGAAACCAATGGCTGCTCCTCGAAAACTTCTTCCTGCCAGGAAAAATAATTTAAGTGATGGTGAACGCATGGACAGTAAAACCAGTTTTGAAGCCAAGCCAGTTCCAGCTCCAAGGCAGAAATCTGTCAAAGGCATGCTGGACCCCAGATCATGGCTGCAGGCACAAGTGTAGGAGACCCTTAGTGTACAAAGCATTTAACAAAATCTGTAGCTGTTAGGCTTCATTCAGAAACACTGGAGATGCAGCAGTATGTAATCATGTTGGTAAATATGGTAGCGATTTACATCAATAATTAATAAGCTGTTAGGTATAAAAATGCTTTATAATGAAGAGGTAGGTTTCTCTTTTACTTCTGATCTTCAGAATATAAGTGATTTCCCTAGTAGAGTATAAGAGGCAGTTTCTAGACAATATCCTAATTGTTGGAAGGGTTAATTTATTCCTAAATTTGCGCCAGCAGTGAGCAAGCACTAGGCAGAAGAAGGCATTAAAATTTCTTTGGGGAGAGACTGTCTAGTAATTTAAAATGGGTTAAATATGAGCCATATTCTCATTGTGAAAATTTTAATACTAATGGAATGTTTCAAAAGTTTTATTCAAACCACAAATTATAGAATCCACCCAAGAAAATTTCTCCTTAGCATTCTGGAATTCTCATCTAATGGTTCACTGGCTCTCATCTATTGTTTAACTCACTAGTTAACTCACTGACCTTTCACATTCCTGGGATAAATTTTAGAATATTAAATTCTTCATCTTTAAAGGGAATTTATAATGTGCTATTCAAAGTTGTTTCCTTGATGAGCCCTGAAATCCTGTTGACATTAACTCTCATAAGTGAAGCATAGCATTTATTAGTTTAGAAAAAAGGTAAATGAAATGTTCTTTATTTCCACTTTTCTATGCATGGTGCTAATTTCCATTGTGACATTGGAATTTGGGGAAGTGAGTAGCTGATTAACACCTTAAAATTCATTTAATACTTATTTAAAAAGCAGATGGCTGATTCAAAAATATCAGAAAAGTTGGCTATGATAATAATTTTCAGAAGTAATCCTTTTAAAACATTTTAATTAAATTTCCTTTTTCTAGGAAGGGTTGATGTCTGCTATTGATATTATTCATTAAAAGTCATATTCTTATAACAATGACATCGGAATCATTTCCATAGGAGGTAATTTCCATAGCAACTAATCATAGTGACCCAAACAGGATTATGAAATCAAGTGAGGAATAAATAACAAGACAATGAATACCTTAAAGGAACAAAAACTGCATTTTAAAAATAATAATGCTTCTTGTAAACAAGAACTGAGTAGTTTTAAAAATCAAATCAGAATTTCCAAATAAGACAGTATCCATAAGGTGTCAGCAATGGCACAAAAAAATCTAAAATCACACTGAACCCTAAATGTCATTGCAAGAAATAAAAATACAAGAATTAAATTACTGCCCAGAGTATAATCTCTAGAGATATTTTTAAAGCTCATGAGATCTCTATTTGTATCAGAACTACATTATTACAAAGTAAAATGAACACTTGACAATAAGTAACATTAATTTAAATGGAGCCTTTCATTATTTTTAGATAGCAGTCTTTCTTCATTTATATAGAGTGATGTAACTGCCAGGTTACTTTTGTGTTTGCCGGGTACTCCCAGTAAGAATTGCGACTCAAGGGAGCAGTGATTCAAAAGGTCTCTTGTGACCAGCGACACCAGGATAGACATAGTCTTTGATGAGAAGGAAGCCCATGTGCTTGCCTTAGAGGATTGTAGAGACAATCACATGTATGAAAACCTGCAAAGGTAGGATTAATTTGTTTTTTCTAACGAGTAGACTCTCATCAGTTCTGTCGTGGTTGCTAATTCAGTAAATGACATATTAAAAATCTGCAGAATATTATTGTTGAATTTTTGTTTATTTTTTAAAACTCATTACTGTTTTTGACAGCATTTGTGACTGTCAATGCCACTAAATTATTGAGCTGGAAGATGCTGCAGGCAAAATCGTTTCTGAAACTGGCATCTAAGCATTTTTTTTTTTAGTCGAAGCCTTCCTTATAACAACCAGTGTTAAAATTTCCAAATTATATTCTTGTCATTTCCTCATGCATATTATATCGAGAAAGATTTAAGGTGTACTGGAAAGAGAATTTATTCATAGAGAAACTCCCTAGCAGTTGTGCCCTCAGTGGGACACTTTGAAACAAGGCTGAGGCCCTTCTTCCTAGAAATATTTATCCGAAGCCTGAACCAAGGACCACCTCCCCCCACAGTTATTCAGGCTGTTTCTGGAGCCCATCTTACTGTATGCTACAGAGCTTTTGGCATCAGGCTGAAGGCTTCAGCTTCACTTCCTTTAACGTAGTGTTCATTAAATGTTAGTTCACTTCCCCCAAGAGTTATAATACAGAGTCAGGGCTCCCTCCCTTCCTTCTCTCCTTCTTACAGGGCTCCCTCCCTTCCTTCTCTCCTTCTTACTCCCTTCCTTCCTTCCTTCCTTCCACAGTTAAAAAAATCTAAAAATACTTAAACACTTTGTCAAGGAGTTCGTCAAAAGAAGTATTTGTTTTCTCATTTCCTAAACCGGAAGTTTATGACAGATAAAAATATGTCATGTAATAAAAGACGTTTCAGCTTTTTATGAGCTGCCTTTTCACATTCCTTGTTTGTCCTTTTAATTTGTTTCTTGATATATGAAGACTATAAACTTGAAAACAAAGAGTTAGCTGTCAGATCTTGATAATAATATTATAATTAGAGAAACAGAAAGAATAGATATTTTATATTATGATAATTCTGATGATCTGGAGATAATGTCTCAGAAAATTGCATTTACATTTCAAGCTCTGGGACGTAAATTACAACAGCATTAAGATAGTATTATTTTTACTTGCAACAAAGTGGTGAGCTTTTTATTTAAACATCTTGCCAAGGACAAAGAAGGCATTTTGTTATTATAAACACATGCTTCCTAAGGTAAACAGTCTTTCAAAATATCAGGCATGCCAACTCTTGGTGAGTTTGGTTAAATCTGCCGTGCCCTCTGACTTCTTATAAGTGGGTGTTCATGTATGTGGAAAACTAATTTCATTTATTATAAATGCCTTATCTTTACCCTTTAAGACCCTATCAAGTAAATTTTTCTGGTACTGTTTATTAAAAACGGGAGCTGCCTTGCGTTAGAGACGATTCATATAAGGTAGGTTAAGCAGTCAAGTATTTCCTTAGGCTTGTGTTCAGTGCCTCAGACACCTACTGAGAAGTTAATTAATTCAGTCCAAAATGAAATTATAGGGCAGTTTGGCACAATTTACGTTAAATGCCATTTGAATGTAATCACCTGTGTTACCATGAATAAGGAACGACTGTACTAGCTACAGATGGAATGCTGTACTGCGAACAAGAAGAGGAGTGCTTTGGCAGGAAAAATATCTGTCCCTGTGGTCAGAATTTACCAAAGCCCTTGTCTTTTTAAAAAGTGAATTATTGAACAGTAAATTTTAACTGATGACCATTTATACAGTGTTCTGTTAGTCTTAAACTATAAAGTAGATGGAGTTTTCTTTGCACCCTGACATTTCAAAGGCATCACTATTTTTAAATGTTTACATGTTTAATGTAACTACTACACTGCAAATAATAGTTCATGAAAAAAATAGTTCCTTTTGGATCACATATTTTTAGTTAACACTAGAAAAGGTGTTTGCTACCTTTGAAATTTTAAGTCAGGATTTCACTTGAAAATACGCTAGGGGATATTTTTTATGATATGCTTGTATAATTGGCATTTTTTATAATTTTTATTTATTTATTTTTTAAGATTTTGTTTATTTATTCATGAGAGACACACAGAAAGAGAGAGGCAGAGACACAGGAGGAGGAAGAAACAGGCTGCACACAGGGGGCCCGACATGCGACTTGATCCCGGGTCTCCAGGATCAGGCCCTGGTCAGGCCCTGGGCTGAAGGCAGCACTAAACCACTGAGCCACCCGGGCTACCCCCCCCCCTTTTTTAAAAGATTTTATTTATTTATTTATTCATGAGAGACACAGAGAGAGAGAGGGAGGTAGAGACACAGGCAGAGGGAGAGGCAGGCTCCATGCAGGGAACCTGATGTGGAACTTGATCCCGGGATTCTAGTATCATGCCCTAGGCCAAAGACAGGTGCTAAACCACTGAGCCACCCAGGGATCCCCTAATTTTTATTTTTTAATTAAATTTTTAAATTTAATTAAATTTTAATTTTGTAAATTTGTATTTTTTAATCAAGCATCTGGATTAAAACATATTCATGGGGTACCTGGGTGGCTCAGTCAGCTAAGCATCCAACTCTTGATTTCAGCTCAGGTTATGATTGCAAGGTTCTGAGATAGAGCCCCCACCCCCGAAGTTGGGCTCTGTGCGGGGCTCCTTCCCCCTCTGTCCCTCCCCCAACTCTGCTTGTGTTCTCTCTGGAAAAAAAAAATATTCTATTATGGATATATATTTTTCAAAGTATCAAAAATTGGTAAGGAAGCCAAGCTCATGTGATTAAAATTTCTTTACAGCAAAGGAACTGATTCATGAAGTCGCTAGCTTTTTCTTCAGGTACAACCTTCTTTCTGTGCTTGATTAATAAGAGTCAAATGTGAAATCAGCTTAACCAGAGAAAGACATACCCAAAACTGGTGCTAATTACTTTAAGACTAATATTCAATAACCTTGCTATAACTAACAATCATTAAAATGTTTATGTATAAACCTTCTTACAGTATATTCTTAAACATCCACTAAAATAACCTTAGTTTAGGTTATTGATGTAGAATTTGCCCAGAGCTTTAGTTATTCTGATAATAAATTAGGGACCTAGGATACTCAGTTACTGTTAGCCACAAGGAGACTCCCTAATGTACCTCCCTCAGTGCTTAATTTATTCCCATGGAGCTCCTCAGGGGAGGGGGGAGAGAAATGAACAATCCTGGCTCAATTATATTATTTCAACATTTTATTCCTGAATCTGAAACATGACCATAAATATTTAACATTTCTTTTTTTAAAAAAAGCTTCCCTTTCTCTGAGATTTATTACATAAATATTTTTGTTTATCTGAATATAGGAAAAATACCAATCTTGGCAAGTTTGATAATTAGAAAACTAGGCAAAATCATTCCAAATCTCACTGAAAATTGTGTTTTAAATCACAGCAGTTTGCTTTCAGAGATATGGTAATCTCTTAATGTGACTATTAACAGAGAGAGAGATTGAAAAGATCTTGTATATACATAATTGCCATGTCACAGATATGTTTCGAGATATTAAAATATAATGTTTTAAACAAAAGGCAAAATCAGACCTATAAATACAGAAGACAGACTGATGGTTGCCAGTGGGGACAGGGCTGGGGAGGGATGGACAAAATGGGTAAGGGGAATGAGAGATATGGGCTTCAGGTTATGGAATGAATAAGGCATGGGAATAAAAGGCCCAACATTGGGAATATAGTCAATGATATTGTCATAGTAATGTATGGGGACAGAGAGTGGCTATACTTGTGAGCATAGCGCAACTCATAGACTTGTCGAATCGCTCTTACACACCTGAAACTAATTAACATTGTGTGTCAACTATACTCAAAAAAATGTTTTTTAAATAGATGGTTTTGTTGAAAATGGGCACTCTTCTGAGTGTTGTATTTTTATGTTTGTTTACTCAAAAACTTTTCTGTTTTTGTGAGTAGATACATTTTTGTTGAATTTAGCCATCTTAATAAACATATCTTAATTTACTTAGTTATGGCAATTTTAGTTTTATATTAAAGAGGAGAAAAAAGTTAAGAGTTATCCATTCACTTGCCTCAAATATTATAATGTGTTTATATATACATAATATAAAATTACAAATACATACATATACTCCATCAAGTCTTCAATCCAGATATTTTCCATTAGTCTTAAAGGATTATTTTTAAGTGCTGCCAGTGCTGGGCAGAGTAAAAGTCCAAACCTCTTCACAGCTGACAGAAAGCTTCACAGCCCTCTTCTAACCTGCCCCGCCCTGCTAGGCGCATTCCTCTTGTTGCTCTCAAGCATTTGGACGTTGCCTCAACAAGTTTTTGCTTGCTTGACATTTTCTTATGCTATTCTGCCTAGAATATCCTTCCTCCCTCTCTTCTTCATGCAGTCTTCCCTCAGCACGCAGCCAGCAAATTTTATTCATTCTTCAGAATGGTATCACCTTTAAATTCCTCAAGACTTCATACCCTCTTTAACCTCTCCTTTCTTTGTGCTTTACTTATACCTATACAGCCTAAGCCCTTGTTCATAGTTTTGTGTTCCCTTACATATGAGTTTTGTGAATTTGTTCCCTGCATTACAAATCATGATAAACTTGCCGACTTAAAACAACATTCACTATCTCACATTTCTTTAGATCAGAATTCTGGATGGGCTCCAGTGGGTTATCTGCTTGAGATCCCACAAGACCAACATGAAGGTGTCCACCAGCCTGGGCTCTCTAATTTGGAGCCTCTGGGGGGAAATCTGCTTCAAGGCTTATCTGTTATTCATTCGGATATTGGCAGAATTCAGTTCCTACTACTTGTGGATCGACCAGGGGTCACTCTCAGCAACTGGAGATCACTCTCCAGTTTTTGCATGTGGTCACCTCAATCTTCAATGCCAGCAACAATTCGTTAAGTCTGGTGAATTAAGTCCTCCCCATGGATGAGTTGAATCTATCTGATTCAAATCTGTCTGACTTTTCCAACCACTACCAGCTGAGGAAAACTGCTTTTTAAGGAGTTGTGTGAGTAGATGTAACCCACCAGGATAATTTCCCTTTTGATTAGTCCAAGGTCCACTGATTAGTAACCTTAATTACTAACATGAAGTATGCATGCGGAGAATATATGTATGCATGATAATTAATTACTTATCTCTTTTGCATATAATGTAATCATTATCATGGGCATGATATATTCTTAGGGCAGGACATCTTGGGGTACTGTTTTAGAATTCTGCTATCACAAATTAGACTTTTCAGGGACAGGGAAAATATTATTGACCTTTTAGTCCTGTCATAGTGAAATGCTAATGGAGGAATAGTATTGGATAAATACGTACAGTGCACATGGATTCACTCAGTAGCCCACTAAGCAAATGTAGAAGACATGCCCAAGGTCACACTACATGGTAGTTAGGAGTGTGGATTCTGGAATTAGATCTGGATTAACTTCTAGCACTGCATGACTTAACTGGGTGATTTGGGACTTTTTTTTAATATCATCAAAGTTTGGGAGTTTGGGGTTTTTCTAATCTTCAAGATAAAAATAGTATTTGCTTCACAGGATAGCCGTGATTATTAAATAAGATAATGCATATAACAAACAAAACCCAGGGCCTGGATATAAATTCTTACCTTGCTTCTATAGTGTGACATAACAACATCGTAACAAATATATAAAGAAAGGAATGAGATATAGCTAATATATCCACATGCATACATATATTCTCCACATGCATACTTCATGTGAAAATATTGGACCTTAAGAGATATCTAAAAATGTGTACATATACTTATTGCCCCTATATTAGAACCCTATCTTAGGCACCGTTGAGGTTTACAAAATTAAAACAATGCTTATTCTTGAGAAGTTCACGTAAGAG